GAATCGCTCTAGAAAATCCTTGAGACTCAAAATCGTCTCGACAAAGATTATAGGATTGATACCAAAATTATATACTATTAGTAAAATTTTTGCAATGTGCTCAGGGGCCCTGTTAAAGCTTCTTTCCTGTGGATTGAGAGGTAGGTAAATGCATCAGCGTTTTCCAACACTTGTCTGGATAAAGGGTAAAGCTGCCGTCCAAAATCAACGCTGGGTGATAGCAAGATAAGCGACCTTGACTCCGCTGATGATTTTGCCATCTTATAAGAAGCTATGGATGTCTATGGCTCTTAAAACAACAAAATCTATGTATTTGGGGTCTTTTAGGAAAATGCTGAGTCAGTACGTCATTGCGGAGTTCAAAATATCTTACTTTATCAAACCAAGAGGTTAATAGAATCTCCCAACAGCTAAGTTCGACTCCCTGAGAATGACCCAGCCCATCAGAATGTCTCCTTCAGAGTTAGTCCTGAGTGGAGGAGGTGCGCGGAACGACCAAGAAAGTCGAGGCGTGGGCAAGGAAGGGGATATGGTGGCTCGCCGAGAGTCCCTTTGTCATCATCACATCCGCCACCACTACTACCACCATCATCATCATCTTTATCATCTTCATAACTATCATTGCCATTAGCACTATCATTATCATCACCATCATTATTCATCAAAAGGCTCCTAAACACCATCATTATTTTTTATCGTTATCATTACTTTCATAGTTATATAAATATTCTTATCTCTATCATCCATACTGTTATTATCATCATTTTCATAATTATCACATATATAAGGACACGAAAGATGTTGATATTAATTAACTGCGGAATATTTTGGGTCCCTTCATTAATAAATTAATACTACATTATCACACTAAACCCAGATATTAAAGTTGAAATTTTTCATATATAATGATATGGGCTTACCTGGAGCCACCAATGCTTTTTCTGCTAACCTCTCTCATCCTCTCACCTTTCTCTCTCTCTCTCTCTCTCTCTCTCTCTCTCTCTCTCTCTCTCTCTCTCTCTCTCTCTCTCTCTCTCTCTCTCTCTCTCTCTCTCTCTCTCTCTCTCTCTCTCTCTCTCTCTCTCTCTCTCTCTCTCTCTCTCTCTCTCTCTCTCTCTCTCTCTCTCTCTCTCTCTCTCTCTCTCCTCTCCTCTCTTTCTCTCTCTCTCTACATGTGCATAATTGTCTTTCTGTCAGTCAGTCAGTCTGTCTGTATATCTGTCTGCCTTTCTATCTGTGCGTCGCTTCATTCCGCACGCACGAGTCAAATCCTCTGAATTGTTTTGCCAGTGAGGACAAGCGTACCCTGGATTCAAGTTTCTCACAGCTATGTTAGGAAATAAAGTGATTGCTTTATTGCTATTCGTTCTTATTGTTGTCAGTTTTTAATCTTAATGTTTTATATGTTTATATGTCTTTTATTTTTTTTTTGTGTATGTGTGTTTAAGGTGTTTTATGGTATATTTTTTAGATTTTTTTTCTTCAAATTATCTATCTCTCTGCCTCTTTTTTTCTGTCTGTCTCTCTGTAAGGTTCTCGTTCTCTCTCTCTCTCTCTCTCTCTCTCTCTCTCTCTCTCTCTCTCTCTCTCTCTCTCTCTCTCTCTCTCTCTCTCTCTCTCTCTCTCTCACGTCCTTCCCTCTATCGTTGGCTTAGGATATTATACAACTCACCACCAAAGGTAACAAGTGACATTGTTTTTTCACAGACTTTGTATTGTCACAAATCTAAACGTGCAGTGAGCTAGACACTTGTTTTGTACATCCTGAATACCTGCACTTGCATATTTCCTTATTGTATTTTCACTGTCTTTTTACCATTATACTTCAGGTGCGGGGCATTTGCGTTATGTAGTGCCCCATGAATGCCACTGGCTTTGCATAATATCACTGACGTATTCATGTTGACAGATGTAGAAAAGGTATGAATAAAAATAGATATCTTCACAATAACAAGATATGCATATAACCAGTTTCGAATACGTCTTCGTTAGAAATACATACAACAGAGAAACTACAGAGCATATATATATATACGTCAGGCGTGATCTACCGACCGAAAATTCCCATTCGTTACCCACATAATTGCAATTGCGACATTCGGTAATTTGAAGCTACCCTTTGCAGTGTTTACATTTTCCTCCGTCGACATGAATGCAGCTTCCATAATTTTTCTTTTCTGTTTGTTCAATTCGCAATGGATATATTTCGGCTTCCTTCCAATTCGGTAGATGTCCAGCTTCATTTACATGCACCACCATACTGTTGGAAGCCCTGTGGTGACGGATGTCAGCTCGATGTTCGCCGATCCTGGTGTTGAAACCAAGCCCCGGTTCGCCAATGTATGCCTTATCGCATTTGCTGCACGGCATGCAATATATAGCACTCCTATGTATGTAAATCAATCGGGGAGCTTCAAATTATCCAAGGTATATATCATAATTCCTCTTCTGTTGCTGTCTACATTTGGCCTACGTTCAGTGTTTATCGTTAGTTCATATACTATCATTGAACCCAAGTAAGTTGAACTTTCACAGACATCTGAACACACTGAACGCTTCTTGTATATCGTAATAAAATCCTTACTATCTATAGCTTTGTTTTTGTTTATCTTATTATGTCTTTTTGCATCCTTTCTATACCGTGTATTTTGGTCCTTCTTCATCTCCTTAATTCTTTTACCTTTCTTCTTGCTCCACCGTTCCGTCCACTCACTACTCCCTGTTCTATTCTCCCTTTACCTCTTCTCCTTTTCCTCTTCTTCCTTTCCCCTTTTTCATTTTTCCATCTCTTCTTCCTCCTCCTCTCTTTCCTCTCCTATTCCACCTTGTCCTGATTTTCCTTCTCTCCGTTTTATTCCCCCACTATCTTCCCTCTGCCCTATTCCTTCCTCCTCCCCTCTCCTTCCTCCTCCTCTTCCTTCTTCTCCTTCCTTTCTTTCCTCCTATTTTTTCTCTCTCCTCCCTGACTTATTTTTCTCCCCTCCCCTCCTCTTCTCCCTTCTCCTTTCTACTCTACTTCCCACCTTCCCCGCCCATTTTCCCTTTCCCCTTCCCTGCCTCCTCATGTCAAGGGAGGGGGAGGGGACAGGGAGGGGGGGGGAGAGGTCCATCGAGGGAGGGAACACGTCAATCAGCTTCTCTTAATTACTAATGAAAGGTGCGAGGCGGCGACACAGAGGGTTACAAGAACAGATCCTCCTCCTCCTTCTCCTCTCTCCTCTTCCTCCTCCTTCTCCTCTCTCCTCCTCCTCATTCTCCTCTCTCTCACCTCCTCCTCTTTCCTCCTCCTCCTCCTTCTCCTCCTTTTCCTCCTCCTCCTCCTTCTCCTCCTTTTCCTCCTCCTCCTCTTTCTTCTCCTCCTCCTCCTCCTTCTCCTCCTTTTCCTCCTCCTCCTCTCTCCTCTCTCCTCTCTCCTCTCTCCTCCTCCTCCTCTCTCCTCCTCCTCATCCTTATTCTTTTATTTCTCCCCCTCTTCCTCTTCCTTCCTTGTCATTTTCCTATTCCTCCTTCTATTTTTCTTCCATTAGCATAACAACCTTCTCTTCATCCTCTTCCTCTTCAGCTTCTTTCTTCTTCTTCTTCTTCTTCTTCTTCTTCTTCTTCTTCTTCTTCTTCTTCTTCTCCTTTTCTTTTCTTCTTCTTCTTCTTCTTCCTTTTCTTCTTTCCTCCTCCTCCTCCTCCTCCTACTCCTCCACATCTTCCTTCTCCCTTTCTTCCTCCTCCTCCCCTTCCTCCTTCTTCCCTCTCCTCTTCCTCGTCCTTCTCCCCTCTCCCCCTTAACCCTTTGACCTATAACGTATTTTGCATGTTGATTGTCTTGTTATGTCACAGCTGAAGTTCTTTTTTTTTTCAACTTCTTGGAGTGGTTTCCTGTGTGTGGATTCGCCAGGGGGGTCGGAAGTGTGTTTAAAATGGGTTTATGGGGTTAAAAATATCCATTGCCGTTAGTTTTCTGTGTGTGTGTGTGTGTGTGTGTGTGTGTGTGTGTGTGTGTGTGTGTGTGTGTGTGTGTGTGTGTGTGTGTGTGTGTGTGTGTGTGTGTTTGTGTGTGTGTGTGTTTGTGTGTGTGTGTGTGTGTGTGTGTGTGTGTGTGTGTGTGTGTGTGTGTGTGTGTGTGTGTATGTGTGTGTGTGTGTGTGTGTGTGTGTGTGTGTGTGTGTGTGTGTGTGTGTGTGTGTAAGCGTTCTTGCAGTTTTACATTTCCCTCTTTTCTCTATTCGTATATTTCTTTACACTTACACATTTACCATTCTAATCTAAAACTTTAAAACGACATTTTTACACATCAACTTTACAGATAACTCTATTATAACTTAACGCTCTCACAGCAACCATGGCTGACA